TTAATCTCTAATTGCATAAACAATTATTTGTCACATTAGTTATGATCCCACTATATTTTGTATCCAAACATCGTGTCTATTTTTGTTATTACTACATTTCTTACCCCTAATTGCACAACATATCAATCTTCTCAATAATTATGATGCTACTTTGTTTGAGTTTTATCCGTCCCATCCTTGTTTATTGTGGCATTTTAATTCCTAATTGTAATTTTATTAATTTGACCTTTGACCGGAAATTATTCTGGAACTTTCCCGCCCATTTATTATAAATACATGAATGTACAGCTTTCTAGTTTATGACTTCATCGAAAAGAAAATTTCCTTCGCTGCAACTGACTTTTTATTATTCCCTATGATCAAAGGTGTACATTCCGTGACATGATAACTCATCAACAGATCTATGTGGTTTAATTCAACAATAATAAAAATCCTAGTTTGAGCATCATCGGAAGTACACACCCACTGCAAGGGTTCAAACCCAGGACCTTTCTGTAACAAGGCAAGCTCGTATACCATTCTGCAACTGGAACCCGATTCAATGTTCCTTGAGTTTTAACTTCTACCAATTCTTGATCAACTACAGAAAATTATTCTGACGCTCGTTAGTGACTTGCTACAGGACAGAGATTTCGGAGTTCTAGTGAGAAGTCATGACTAGTGAGGTCCATCTAGTCAAGTGTGAAGATGGATGTCCCACCAACGACTTTGGTTAGGGTAGCGCTGAATCACGAATTGGTGAACGTTAGAATTCATGGACTGTCTAATGAATCGAGTCTCAGTGGCTGAATGGTGTACGAGCTTGCCTTGTAACCAGAAGTTCCTGGATTCGAACGCTTGTGGTGGGTGCGTACTCCTACTGATTCCCAAACTGCGATGAAACAACTTTTCAGTGGTCGTTGGCTTTCAGTGGTTCTCTAACTGATACCAATCTGTGATCAACGCGTAAAAACAAAACCAATCCTTACAAAGCAACTATAGAAAATAATAAAAATAAAAAAATAACCTAAACAGTGCTGTTAGGCAACTATGCAGACAGGCTAAATTTCTAAGTACAAAACAAGTTAGTTAACGGAAATTCAGCTGAAAGAAGGATACCTTAGAATAAATTTGAATATTTCAAACAAGGTCAGATTGAAAGCACTCGTCTACAGGAATCATTTACTGACAGAAGAGCAACTTCAAAATTACCTTAATTCACCCAAACAAAGTCGCACTGTGAAATAACAAATTGTCAAATGTATTGCACAACCACAAAAAGAGAAGAATTGAAATTAGAGATCAAGCTGTGACAAGGACAAATAATAAGGATTAAGCTAACATATGATATGCAAAATTTGAGAAAAATAATATAGTCTAGGAGTAAAGGAGAAAGTTTTTACTTAGTTGAAACATATGTATAAGTTTCAGTCAGTCAGTCAGTTCCAAACAATTACTCCATTATCACCTCTTTTTAACCAACTATAATAGTGTTTCTGATACTTTCGGATACTTTATCCGATTCTACTGTGCGTCGGTGGCACAGTGGTTAGGACGCTCGCCGTCCATGCACGTGGTCTGGGGTTCAATCTCCTGCCGATGCACACCTGATATCAATGATCGGCCTGTTAAATTTGAGCTACTGATATCACATGCTGAAAATTCCAAATTTGTACCAAAAATACGCTCTGGAATCAAGCTATAATCAAAAAACAAAATTACATGCAAATAAAGTCATAGTTCTGGTCGATCATTTTATCGAAATTATTTTTTACTTAGTGAATCTATCATTCCAGATCAAGCTTAATTCTTGTGTTTTTAATGACCTGGCAAACCCTGAATGAGTAGATTTTGTGATCCAAGATCATAGAAGAATGATTAAAACAATAAAAAACAAAGAAAATACGATGGACTATTTTGGATGAAAATTCAGATAGCCAAGTGAATTGAGCAGGCTGCCAACTGATCTCACAGTCAATACATTCTGTAAATCTAAATATATTTATATGCATAAACTATTGATAAGATCAAAAGGTTATGTGAGTACACTGAAAGGATTAAGAGCAATTAAACGGTGCTCAAAATATCAGCTGGTTGTATCAAATAAAGTAATACGGAAGAAAATGAAGAACTTTACTACTGCGCATTCTAAGTAAAATCAATGCAATCTAGAGAAATAGCAAAGGTTATTAAACGAGGATTTGTGATGCCCTCTTAGTGTTTTTAGTGAAGCGTACTCTAGATAGTGCGTCAGCGGCACAGCGGTAGAATGCTCGCCAACCACGCGACCCTCGGCTGACGCACTCCTTTACCTCACTAAACCAGTATTAAGACTGGCAAAGAGGGAAGGTTGGGCATGATGCTAGCAACCCTATCCCGTAAAGCTGAATACCACTGCTACTGAAACTTTGAGCGTCTCGCTTGAAACCCTATGTTTCACTGGGAACGTAAAGGAAATTTAAAAAAAACACTCTAGGTGATAGTGATTTCTTTCTCTCTAATCCAGTGAATCGGTGCGTTGTTGGTTCAGAGGTAGAATAGTCAAAAACCATGAACGTGGTCAGGGGTTCGATACCAGGCTGACACACTCCTTAACTTCACTAAGCCAGTACCAAAGCCTCAAAGCTGTAGCTTGAAGCCCAACGTTCCACTGGGGGACGTAAATGAATAAATAAAATAAAATAATAATCCGGGTTAACAGGAAAAATAAAAGAGATGGCAGTGATGAAATTCTTGTTTTACGATAAAGTCATGAACTAGGCTGTGCATTCGTGTATATATAGTAAATGGGTGGGAAAGTTTCAAAACTATTTTTGTGGTCAAGGGTCAAATTAACAAGTTTGCAAATAGGGATTAAAGTGTAATTAGAAACACGAAGATGGAATAAAAATCACTGTAGGATCACAATTACTTATAAAATTGGCTTCTTGTGCAATTGGGGGTAAAAATGTAGTTATAAAAAAATAGACAGGAAATTGGGACAGAAAGCACAACAGTGTTAATAGTCATTATTGAACGAAAAATAGCAGAAATAACCAAGAATTTTGATCGGAAAGACAAAAAGATAACCGCTTTTGAGAGAAATGGATGTTTATGCCGGCCATGGTAGTTCAAGGATTGAACATATTTCTTTCGAATGCACAGTGGAGGTTTGAACGTCTTGATCGCTAGTGATTCAGTTAGGCATGGGTGCACTGATCTCACTCCACTTGAGGAGTTTTATCGGATCTTGTATACGACATTCAAGGACTTTTCAAATGAAACCAGATGCCCTGTTACAAAACTATATACACACTTGCGCTCTCCCTTAGCTATAAAGGCTGGATAGTGTCAATGGGTGCATTGTGCTGGTGGACGCATGGTACGGCCAATGAAATCAACTCCACAAGATCCAGTTAACTGTTATATGCATGCTGAAGTGGCTCAATGAGAAGACTTGCCTTTCGCGTGCTGTTTGAGTAGTTTCTTGCAGGAAAATTTCAGTAGTAGGTTAACAGCGAAGCGTGTTCATTAATTGAGTGTAATCAAGAATGAATGAAGATTTGTTCTCACCAAAAATATGTAGGATACTTTAACTTACCCCAAACCTGCTCGTGTGGAGCCAGTTATATTGGCCACACAAAGTGCACACTTTCCAAACGCATCTATGAACATTATTCGGCGTGTTTCGCAAAAGGACTATTTAAGACAGTTACTAGCTCAATTCTCGAGCACTTGGTGAACTCAAGCCACGTATCTACACTAGAGTCGTCTTTCAAGATCGTCTACAAGGTGAGACCAAAGGGTACAAAGGCGTCAGGTTTCGGCTTTTGTACATAGCGAAGGCGCTGGCGATTCGTCAATACAACCCTGTACTCTGTATTTAGAAATAGTTTGTCCAATCTCTTATTCTACCATGGTCTTAACCTCTTCATTAGTCGTTCCTTATAAATTTTTAATTTCTAGTTTGCTTTTACTTTAATAATTAATTCATTATTATCACTCTCACATGTTCCTTTTAGTACATTTACTCACCCTCTTCCCACTTGTTAAATTGACATTCATCTGCTTTTATTCTCACTAAATAGCAATTTGAACCTTATTGAAATTTAAAACATTTCTTCCTTTGTACCGTTACTTCTAAAGCCATTTTTGAGTAATTATATGAAAACTTCTTTTCTTAGCGGTTGTTTGATAGACGCTGAAACTTTTTTATTCACCTCACAACTTTGTGATACATATGGGGAGTATGGAAACGTTTGAATTTATTCCGATCAAGTACTTGTTCGAAGATGTTAGTCACAACATAAGTCATTACCTTCAATTTATCTGATAAATTCATCAGGGGGACTAAATTTAATGGTGAATAATTTTGAATTCTGGTAAAGTCATGTTACATTTTAGAGAGCCTTTAAGCCTCGGAAATCCTCTAAATGTGATGCGGTGTGAAGTAGATCAGTGATATTAAACTGTATTCATAATATCGTATTGATTAACTTAAATCTGTGCAGCATTTTTTAAAGTAAATCAAATACATTTTCATATCACTCTCAGACTTGTGACATGATAACTTGAAATAGGAAATTTAACACTGATATTTTTCTTATTCTCACAGACAGTTTGAGCATGTGTATAGGTCAAGTCACTGCACTGGTTTTGAATGGTTCTTCAACTGATCTTTATTAGTTATCCAACTAGAAATCACAGAGAAGATTTCCAGCTCAGATGGATAATTTCGATTTGGTTGTATCCTCAGTTATCCTTCTAGACGACGTCGTCAGCATAAGCTTCAGTATGAAGTGAACTTGTTCGAATTCTCCGTGTGAATGGTATAACTTTATCTCCTGATAACCTCAGTCGCCATTGATTGTCAACTTTTACATTGGTCATCTTTATGAACTTGAAATTTGAACTCTCTTGTCATGTGATTTTTTACTACACCTTTATTTAGTAACACTGATGCGTGTTCCTGACCGAGCAAGAAAAATCAAGTTCCTAGAGAAGCGGCTAATATCTAATTTATATTTAATTTCACATTTTAGGTAATCTGTCGAAATAGAGGAACGTGTATTTCAAGCCAAGATGGTTATAATTTTATTTGTCAATGTCAATACGGTTGGGGTGGTAGGTACTGTGAAGAACCGGATATTCGGCAATGGTAAGAAATGTTTTACTGATGAAAAAAGGCTTTTGATCAGGTTCATTTATAAATTATTACCTTCTTTTGATCGTATCATGATAGTCTAAGGCAAAAATAGAATTCGCATTTCAAAAGATCAAAATATTAACTGAATCAACTGATATAAATGCAAGTGATTTCACTGTAAATTTAAGTTTTTCTGGCGGTTTGTTTAAATCACTGGACTACATTAATTTTCATTCGGTATAATGCTGCATAAACTCTTCTCCACTAATCATTGTTTTAGTCATCTAATTATGTTTCTTGGATCGCTATATGAACTACCGCAAAATTTAAGACTGCAGTTTTGTGGATCGCTTTTCAACGGAAATGAGAAAAAAAAACATATCGTAAAGATGTGAATATTCCCTCAGATGGAACAATTCAGCATCAAACCCGATGTACTGCCAAATACCATTTTATTCGAAGATTCTGTACGAAGAGTAGATGAAATAAACTTTGTTAAGTATGAGGCCGATATAACTGTTTCAATGTCTGTTAACTATCAACTAGACTGTACTAAGATGAACAGCTTTCTATCAGGAGTGAACAAATGGTCTTAAACTAAATCCTTCTAAATGTCAGACTGTTAATTTAAGTTTCCGAAGTAAAAAATTGTTAAGTGATGAAGTTGTTAATTCCTATGGCCGCTGCAGAATCGATGATACTGATATAGAAATCAAGTCTGACGTTAAATATCTTGTGTTAATTCTCTTTTCTGACCTATCCTGGTCTTCCATGTCTTAGCGATTTCTAAAAGAATATTTCGTCTGATTTTTTACATTAAGAAGTTAAGGCACTCAGGCATAACTCAACCCCTTCTCCTCTTACAATTTTTGAACTCGAATATTTTACCTATTCTTCTTTATTGTTCATCCTTATTCTTTCCTGGATTGCTTAAAAAAGACTATGTCATACTTCGTAGAACTCTGAAGACTGTCAGTAGGGCGAGTGCTGGTGGTATTCGATTAGGTCACATCGTTGACATTGTCAGTGATGGGCACCTGATGTCATACAAAAAATTTGCTAAAGGAATTTTGTCAGACTGTGAGCATCCACCGCAGTAACCACATCTCCAACTTTGTGTCTCTTCAGGTAAAACAAGAGGTTTTCTTGTAAGACTTTATGCACATACGTCTAAGTATAGAACTGTCACTATTCCATATTTGGCACGTAACTGATGTGATAAAAATCGTGTTAGGCACGAACTAGCTAACTAACATTCTTTCCACTAGTGAATAAACAATTTTCTCCATCCTTATAACATCAAGCTTTGCGGTTATTATTCCTCTTATATTCATAATCCTCTCATTTTTGTTTGGTTTATTTTCTCAAAAGTGTTAACATCATTTAAGCTGTATTATAACTGTTAATTTTGTCTAACGCCTCATCATGCTATATCAACAGAATATTAGATTCAATAATCTATAACATGCTAAAATTTCCAAACTGAATCGACAATACTGTTTGAAACAAACTCACTGTTATTATTATTATATTAATATTCTCATTTGGTATTTCAAATATTTTTGACTTTATATCGGTTATGTGGACAAATTCTTGTTATTAATTTTGTTTTAATTTTATTTTTATTTTGAGCAAATCAGATGCAAGGTGTTTTGAAAAATGCTGAGAATTTCATTCTGTATTAGAAGTACTGTTTTGGAATAAAGTAGATTATTATGAGATTAAAATTATGATAAAATGCATTACTTCTCAATTACATCACTTAGATAAACAATTAGTCATTAGAGAATATATCAAGGATTGCAAATTGAGTAATATTAATAATAATAGTTACAATAATTGCAATAATGCTGAATTGAGTTAAAATAATGCTCCTGTTAAAAGATAATTTTAAATAAATCAAGAATATTAATAATAGTAATCAGAGGTAAAATAAAGTGTTATTTATTTTAATAATAACAGTTAACAAGTAAAAGTTATTACCATGGTAGATTCATGGTGACAACCATCTCCTTTTGTACACAATGACCTGGTTTATGAACTTGAAATGCACAAGCCTCTGCAACCACAAGCTTCTTCCTGTTTCTTTGTCTACTGACTGGAAGCAGTGAATGACTTAACAGCGTCGATATCATGTTCATAGTCCACAAGATGTTTTGTTACTGAGGTTTTTGGCACTTTGCACTCAACTGTTTTTAACCACTTCGGCAAATGCTCCATCATGAGAGTAGACAATCGCCTTTCAAACACTCGATGATAATATTCACTATCCTGGTGAATAATGACTTAATCATAAACGTTTTCACAGAAAATAAAACAAACCCAAACAAACCGGATTGTTTATTATCCACATCAATAGACAATAAATCACACATACAAGAAAAATAAACAAATCAACAAATTTTCCAGTTATAAATGATTTATAAATGCATTAATCAAGAATGTATAAACATATATATGGAAAACAAGATTTTCTTATCCTGGTTAACATAATCTGATACGTTTTCCCTGATAACAAAAAAGCATAGATAAATAACTTGAAAAATCCCATGAAAAAACTGAGAAAAAAGAGTTTTGTAGGAAGAATAATTGCAAACAAATAGATAAATAACTAAATAAATCAAAATCCTGTTTTGCTTTTGGTATGTTCATTCTCTGAGCTCGATGGTGTAAAGGCTTTCGTTGTCTGCCCTTCTGAGCAACACTTCCTTTTTTGATGGCCCTAGGAATTTAATAATAATAATAATGATAAATTTATTTTGATTTCGAATTGAGGTAAAATTGAGTAATTTCTCATTCTCTCTCTTTTCACAGGCATAAATCAAAGCCAAAATTTACCTTCCTCCTCTCCCTCATTCCTCACTGCGTCCTCCTAAGTTTGTTTAGTTTTTCTAACAAAAGAGCAAGCATTGTAGTGTGATGATCCCTTATATTGAGTTATTTATTCTCAGTGATGATTTGTAAACATTTTTTACATTTTTTGCTGCTATTTTGATATGGTTACCGAAAATCTTTGATGATTTTTGTAGGCTTTAGTGAGTAGCAAAGTTCAATTTGCAGGTAAACACAAAAGAATGAATGAAGTAACTTTGAGTACCTGCTAAAAAAATTCTACACCAAAGGGTAAATTTATTCATCGGAATTTATTGCTCATAATTATATCGAAGATTCCTGGACAAGAACAACAACAACAGACAACGATCAGCATAAATGGGAGGAACCTGAAAGAAACAACCTCCTTCACCTACCTGGGAAGCATCGTTTCAACTACAGGCGGAACTGACGAGGATATCAAAGCGCGAGGATCGGAAAAGCAAGACAAGATTTCACTACTCTCAAGTCTGTGTGGAGGTCAACAATACTCCGCATCAAAAATAAGATCCGGATTTTCAACTCCAATGTGAAGTCAGTCAGTGCTACTATACGGATCAGAGACTTGGCCAGCGCGTCATAAAGAGCATCTCAAACAAACTACACACCTTCATTAACAGCTGTCTTCGCTCAATACTCAAGATCAGATGGCCAGAAAAGATCAGCAACAGAGATCTCTGGCAATGAACGAACCAACTCAGCAGGAACCGATTGTGAAACAAATAGGCAGGAAGAAATGGAGATGGATTGGCCATACTCTGAGGAAACCATCAAGTGACATCACTAGACAAGCGATTGCTCGAGTGGAATCGGAAAAGGGAAGCGGTGAGTTGGTCGTCAGTGCAAGGGTGACTTGGAGGAGATCATGTGAAAAGGAGATGAAAACGTGTGGGCAGACTTGGAGCCAGGTGAAGACTCTAGCAGAGAACCGAACTCAATTGAGACGCACGGCTGAAGCCCCATGTTCCTCTTGGAATTAAAGGAAACAAATAAAATAAGAAAATAAAATTATATCGAGGTGTTGAAACAACTTTTCAATGTCGTTTATATAATTCCATTACTTTACATCTCTTCATGGAATTGGTAGTGGTAGTATCTTTGGTTTTAGGTTATTCCTATTTCAGCATGCGTTGGGTGTAGTGTCGATGAACAAAGACTCAGCGGTCAGTTTCTATCCCTCAGTCTGCGTGTCTCTATTACGTCTTAGAATTGTAACTTTGTCCTTTCGTAATATGGGACTGTGTGGTAATACATGCACTTCAAATATTGAGTTCTTTCCTAAATTATAAATCTTCATGGGATCACAGTGTTAAAAACAGAACATACCTCCAATTCCTTTACATATATAAACTCACCAGTAAAATGAACAAAATTCACAATTGAATCAGAAAATGAACAAGGAGAATTAGCTATGCTGTAAGATTGTAAAGTAATACAAAGAGAAGGCTAACTGCACACTAGCGTTTATAAAAAGCCAACGCATTCTAATATTGGATATTTAGACTTTAATTCATCTCATCCGTCCTATGTCTGTCAAGACAGGCTTAGTTGTTAAGTGCCTAAAAAACCGAGCAATAGCACTAAATAGTACAACAAAAAACCTAAATGTGGAAATTAAACACATAAAAGAGGCATTGGTGTTAAATAACTATCCTGTAAAATTCAATAGGAAGATCAGAAAAGGTTAAAAGCAAAATAAAAATAATGGGGAAACTAACGACGATAACGTAAAGGCGAGAATATAAGGCATCTACAGTTTTACCATATAAGGAAGAGACATCTGAGACCCTACATAGGATTCTCAATAAAGCAGGAATTAGGGTGGCATTCAAACCTACAAACTCACTCTGGTAGGACAAGCTCTGTAAGGTAAAGGACCCAGTTGACCCAATTAGACGAAATAATATAATTTACAAAATACCCTGCAATGACTATGAGTTAAGTCAACTAATTAGGTGAAACTAGTAGATCGGGGGTAATTAGATTGTCAGAACATAAGAATTTAGCTAAGGTAAAAATGACTGACCCCGAGAAGATAAGTAATTTAGAAAAAAGCTGAGGACTGCAATGCACTGCACTGCACATTAACACCCAACCACGCAGTAGAGTAGGACAGAGTTAAAATTCAGAAATGTCATGTA